CGTTCAACATTTTCCTTTGTCAAATATTGTCACATCGCATGGATCCAGGCATCGCTTCCTTCTTTATTTCTTGATCTGTTGCTGCATAGCGTGCATCTGTCTTTCTTTAACCATATACCTTGGGGTTTTTGAATGTTTTGGTCATCGTCATAGAAGGCGTTTGGTGGAGTCCAAACATCACATCATCATCATCATCAGCTTGATGCTTCATTACTAAGTATTTGTTGGGGGCAAATGGGAAGGAGGAAAACTAATTGGATGTATAAATAATTGGCGGGCGATGCCGTTTACACTCGGCACTGAAGCTGCAGGGCAGATACCACAGTACAGGTCATGACTGTGAAAATACAGAGATTTCATTTGAAGTTTAACTCCTCAAGCCGGTTGTTTGTTGTTAGACGGTAACATGCATTCCATAGCCAAGTTCTCGTCCCATGATGACGGCCAGCTGTTCGTTTGAAGATGGAATCCTCTCCACCAGTCTACTCCATAGAAATAATCTTCACGGGAAGTATACAGTGAGCACCGTACATGTCCTTTCCCCTGAATGGCCGAAGGTCCCAACTTAGAGTTCTCTTTCCGAGAGCCATGAGCCCAATCACAAAGGAGGTCCAGGCAAGGAGGCGCGATTTCCCAGATAATGAAATCACTGAAGAAGTGTTTCGATTGATCTCCATACTTGTCTGCCAAATGATGCAAAATGAAGTAAATCCGATCGCATCCTCCATGGCCGAGGTTCACAGGAGGGTTGCACAGTGTGCTACATCGCGAAACCAATAACCTATAAGAACAAGGCATGAGCGCATGGGTTCGTCTGCAGAAACTTGGTTAAGAATCTCGATTGGAGCAAGCCGAAGTAAGGACGTGGCATGTTAGTTGGAGGTCTAGATCCTCCGCTACTTCCAGTACTACTACTCGCTAAATAATCATTTCCTATCGCCATCACGGGACCAGGAAGGCGGTTCTGCTGTTCCACGTTCGGGTAACTTTATTTTCCTTTCGGTTGAAGTTGAAGAATGAGTCTATTCAGCATGCGTGTTCTTCTACTTTAGGTAATGCGTCACTCGTGATATCTCCGATGATAATAATATCGTTGGGCTGCAGAATGTGGATTGTTTCATGGCTGCGCTTCTATGGCCAATGGGTTCTCCATGGCTTGTCATCTGCACTCGTCTTGCGGAACGATTTACTTCTCACTGCTACTTGTTCAAGCCATCGAATCTACTGACTGACCCCTAATCTTTAGCGATCACCATTCTTCTAATTACTTGACTGCGCGGTTCAAAGCGGCTCAGGGTTTTGTTTGTCTGGCTCCCAAGCCAGGCTTACCGGGATTCAAGGACCGTGCGGTAGTCCAGGCCCAACAATCCATGTCGCACTTGTATATTATAGGCTAGAAAGCCTATGACGTCCAGTCTTTGTCTGTTTCGAGCACATCTGCAGAGTGCAAACTGTTCCTGCCTGGCTTGCAGGGATGGAGCCAACACGACACTGCCACGCGCGTTCAAGATCCTCCTAACAACTCGCTCCCACGGGCCGGAGATATATTGCCGATCCGTGACGATAATCAGTATCCACGTTTTCAGTTATCTAGATCGTGTATCACAACATCTCAGTTCGATCGCCATTGTATGAGGGCGTTGTTATCACTGTTCTTCTCGGTGAATCAGACGCGCACAGCACTGGAATGTGTCTGTGGGGATCTCCTTGTGGTAAGGTACTACTATCGGCAACCCCTTCCATTTTATGGAGTCGACGTGTTCCATCTGACGTGTAACCTTCAATAGTATATATATTCAAGCGCTGACCCGACTCTCTAGAATTCAACCAGCGCATTCTCAATATATTTCTGAGCACCAAGGCCATTTCCTGCATATACAAAGTGTCTGAAACAGAATGAATACTCTGCTCATCCATCATTGGACCGCCCTTAAAAACGCCCTCTCCTCCAACGATATTGGGCGCGATCTGGATGGCAAGACTCTGGATTTGGCCACCGTCGTGGCTGGTGCACGGTAGGCCGTCATTTCTTATTATGGCCTCATGGAGCTGGAGAGATCTGGCAGCTGTTGTTGGGCTGCTAACTTGCTATTAGATATGGAAAACGCGTCTCGCTTTCACAAAATACCCGAAAGCAGGTGCAGCGGTCGGAAGCGGTGTTGAGGAAACATTTGGCGGACGGGGAGCTAATTTACGGTTAGCCCTTGCTTTTACGTTGCATCAGTTGATGGATATTCACAAGCTACAGGCGTCAATACGGGTTTCGGTGGTAGTGCCGATACAACAACCGATGCCGTCAACAAGCTCCAAGAGAATCTACTGCAGATGCTCCAGGCTGGTGTCAAACTAGATGGATCAAGCCCGGTTGCCGCAGAGAAGCAAAATGAGCAAATCCTGCCCCTTGACGACCCAACTTCCGCGACCATCATGCCGGAGTCTTGGACCCGAGCAACCATGATTATCCGTTTGAACTGCCTTGCTTCAGGATATTCCGGCATCCGGCAGTCCGTCTTGGACGTTCTGCTCCAGATGATAGAGCAACATATCACGCCCCGAGTTCCGCTGAGAGGCAGTATATCTGCCTCTGGTGATCTCAGCCCACTATCATACATTGGCGGAGCGATGCAAGGGCATCCGTCTATCCATGTTTGGAAGCGTGCTCAAAACTCGGATTGCCAAGTGAAAGGGGCTGATGTCGCCCTCAAAGAGAGTTCAATTCCAGTTGTCTGTCTGGATGCGAAAGAAGGCCTGGCAATCGTGAACGGAACGGCGACCTCTGCAGCCGTGGGTGGCCTGGCTTTGCATGAAACCCTTGGCCTCGCTGCTTTGAGTCAGATCCTTGCAGCAATGAGTGTCGAAGCTTTGCACGGTACTAGCGAAAGCTTCGATCCGTTTTTCGCCAGAGTACGCCCTCATCCCGGACAAACGACGGCTGCAAGTAATCTATGGAATTTCCTTTCCAACTCAAAATTGCTCAATGATGGAGATGGATTCGGACACGGAAGCCTACGACAAGATCGGTACTCGATTCGCACATCTGCGCAATGGATGGGTCCGCTTCTTGAAGACTTGGAACTAGCATACCAGCAGATCTCGATGGAGCTGAATTCGGTAACGGACAACCCTCTTATCGATACGGCTGGTGATAATGCTCGCATCCTACACGGTGGTAATTTCCAAGCAAAGTCAGTGACGAGCGCCATGGAGAAGACCAGGCTGGCCGTTCAATCCATGGGCCGTATGCTCTACGCGCAGTGCACTGAGCTGATTGATTCATCCAAGAACAACGGATTACCTCCTAATTTGTCTGCCGACGAGCCTAGCGTGTCCTTCACGTTCAAGGGTGTCGATATCATGATCGCTGCGCTACAGTCGGAGCTGGGATTCCTCGCAAATCCTATTGGGAACCACGTCCAGACGGCCGAAATGGGAAATCAGGCCTTGAACTCGCTCGCACTGATATCAAGTCGCTACACTTTGGACGCGGTTGCTGTCTTGTCGCAGCTGGCAGCTGCCCATCTCGTGGCTATCTGCCAGGCTCTCGACCTCCGTGTGATCAATATCCAGTTCATGCGGACTCTAGAACAGGACTTTATGAAATTGTTCAGCGACAGCTTCCAAGTCCACGCTGTTCCGGGCAGGAACCTCCTGGTTCTCTCCAAGGAAGCCTGGGATGCCTTTGCCAAGCAAGTGGAGCATCTACAGTCCGTTGACTCGTGCAGTCGATTTCATCAGGCCGCCCGCGCCATTCTGCCTATATTCATCACGGCATTGCCACCAAGCACTTCCTCACCAGGAATTATCCACTCATGGATTGATCGCTTGGGTTCACAGGCGGCTGAGACATATCGCAAGACACGTGAGGCATACTGTAGGTGTCCAGATGCCACCCCTTACCTTGGGGAGGCGTCGCGGAAGATGTATGCATATGTTCGACAGAACTTAAAGATTCCCTTCATAGTCGAGGGAACACTCTGGCGCCCGAGCGATCCAGCCAAGACACCGAATGGCGAAGCGACGCCACCGCCCCTCCCTACGATGGGCGACGTGGTTGGCATCGCGTATGATGCCATTCGCCGCGGGTCTTTGTATACGGTAGCGGTGGAGTGTATCCGGGATGCGGAGCAAGACATGGCGCAGTGCCCTTACTGCTTTGTCGAGTAGGCAATATGCGCATCGAGGACAAGAGGCCCTGGAATTCGCTGATGGTTTCCTAGAGTAAACGAGTATGCCCTGCAAATATCGATGGTAGTAGTTACTTTGTTTTCTTTCTGTCTAACTTATCATGTCTGTCATCATATTATAGCATTTTGTTTTGAATTGATATTACCACATTTTATCCACCTCTAGCTTTGTCTATGAAGCATTGATTGGCACAGAAGAATGGCGAGCGATGGATGGCTACTACCTTCGCACTGACAGCATGAGGCAAATACCTCCACTATGGCACGTTACGAGAAACCCGGACAAAGAGTAACAGACGTCTGTTATCGCGCCGATCGGATCAGACTAATGCAGCCTGACAGATGCCAACCGGCAAAGAATAAGTCGAAATGGCCACACCTGGGCAGATTTAGTGGCTGCACGGGGGCCGGGCCAGATGCTGTCATCGCTGCCGGCAATCGTGCAATCGCTCTCCTCTCTTCTCTCTCCATCTCCTCTCTCGGCATGCTTGATACCAGCTACTGGATGAACATCTTTTCACTTTTTTTTTAATTCTGACTTTACTGTGATGTACCTCTGCAGTTAAGCAATTACTCTCCTGCTATCACCAAGGTCAGCCAATGTGCAACCATGGTTCATCTTGATCTCAACCAAGTTACTAAGGCAGATATAGTTCTCACATTCAACACCATCATAAAAGCAGGTACACTCTTGCTGTCCAACCACAGAAACTGAAATACACAATACTAACACTGCCTCTTCTTCCCCGCAAATCGGAAGCTAATCAAGCACCTCATCCAGCTTATCATGTCATCTTCACCCCGAACATGCATGATAATCGCCGGCAAGAATCACGCCATTGCATCCCGCAATGAGCATCGCGCATGTACCACCTCATATTTCCAGGTCCCCTGACATCGCGAATGCTATATTAGAGCTGCAGGGTATCGCTAGGACATGGCTATCAAAGATCGGCGATTTCACCTTCCGACACATACGCCTGCACGATGGGTTTCTTACCCTTCACTACGAAAGCAGAGGAAGTGGGCGCGACCTCGGAGCAGGCCAGCGACACCTTGAGCGTTATTGACGATGGCAATCTACAATATACGGTCGATGGGGGTGCTAACTCCTCCAAGCGCACGTACCAGGAGGCGAGTGGTGCTCCGATCGAGTCAAAATCACCTCTGGGATACTCCGTAGGTGCGGTGACAGTTATTTTCCTGAACTTGAGTAAGATGATTGGAACGGGTGTTTTTTCGACGCGTGAGTATTCCTACCATCTTTCCAAGGCCAGTTGAGCTTTGGGTGTGGACAGCAATGCTAACTTCTCGTATCAAGCTTCTACTGTTCTCGACGGTGCCGGATCTGTCGGTCTGAGTCTCTTCTACTGGGTCATCGGCTTCTTCATGGCGGCGAGCATGCTCTCCGTTTATATGGAATTCGTGTCATATTTTCCCAGTCGGTCTGGCTCGGAAGTCGTATATCTGGAGCAGGCGTATCCCAGGCCGCGATATTTCTTTCCGACTGTGTTTGCGATGCAGACTGTGCTGTTTTCATTCAGTAGCAGTAATGCTGTCGGTATGAAGTCTGATCAGCCAGCAGATGTCTCAGAGCTAATCTGGGTTGTACTACAGTACTTGCAGAATATCTGTTCAAGCTTGCGGACGCAGATACAACTGCATGGAAAGAAAAAGGTGTTGCCGTGGCGGCATATACCGTGGCTGTGTTGAGTATGTTCTGCCCTGGGAGAATTTATGGGCTGGACTAATGATGCCAGTGCTGGCTTTCAACACGAAATGGTCTCTTTGGGTGGCCAATGCCATCGGTGTCGTCAAGCTAGTCACTCTGATCTTGTACGTGTACTATACATCTCTCTAGTTTATTGAGACTGACGAAACAGTATTGGTATCGCTGGCCTCGTCGTCCTGGGAGGTCACACCCCAGTGAAGGACCCCTTGGTCAACTTCCGCGATGCTTTCTCAGGAACCTCTGGCGCATCGGTGTACGGGGCCACCAACGCTTTGGTCAAAGTGATGTTTTCGTATGCCGGTTACGAGAATGCTTGCAACGTCGTCAATGAGGTTAAGGTAGGCGACCGTTTTTCGTTTCTGTTGCTCCCGAACTAACGTATCATATCATAGAATCCTGTCAAGACCCTTCGCTGGAGTGCTCCGCTTGCCCTCTTTCTTACCGCCGTGCTCTACATCCTCGCCAACATTGCTTACTTCTCCGCTGCAAGCAAGGAGGAGATCCTGAATTCGAACGTCACAGCAGCGAGTCTCTTCTTCGAAAAGGTCTTTGGCACATCAGGGGCTTCTCGGGCTCTGAACGTCTTGGTCTGTCTCAGCGCGCTGGGCAACCTTCTGGCTGTGCTGATCGGTCAGTCCCGTATGCTGCGGGAATGTGGACGGTATGTCATATTCCATCAGATCGGCTGGCGTTGTTTTAACATCTGTCTGGTACAGACAGGGTGTTCTTCCCTTTACGAGATTCTGGACCTCGACTCGTCCATTTGGAACGCCCCTCGGGCCCTACTTCATCAAATGGGCACTCACAGTCATCATGATCATCGCGCCTCCAGCTGGAGATGCCTTCAACTTCAGTACGTACCAGCCTGCTACCGTTCCGCACATATCTAATCTGTGGTATAGTCGTCGACTTGAGCATCTATCCCAGCAACGCTTTCAACTTTCTTCTGGCAATAGGTATCCTCATCACTCGACATCGGCGTCAGCGACTCAACTTCCCCCCATCCGGCTACAGGGCCTGGACTGTCTCCGTCTACTTTGCCATTCTCTCGAGTCTGTATATGCTCGTTGCGCCATGGTATCCCCCGGCCACCGGAGCAGATGGTGGAGACGTCAGCTTCTGGTATGCGACGTACTGTGTCGTGGGGATTGCAATGTGAGTTACCGTTTGATAACCTCTGTAGTTTCATCATATTCGAACAGAATCGCTAATAACATATGACATCGATAGTATCGCCGCTTGCGGAGTCTACTATTACCTCTGGGTCAAGATCCTCCCCCGGGTAGGCGGGTATGAGCTTCGTCAGACGATTATCAATGTCGGGGGTGATGCGACTGCACATAAATTGGTCAGGGTGCCAAAGGCGCAGGTGGAGGAATGGGACCGAGAGCATGATGCTTCAGGAAGAGTGAGGAGGAGACATCATACTACTGAGGTTGTAACAAAGACAGAGGAGACAGCTTAAGCAGGAAAGAGTTCTCGCATAGTGTTATATAATTGTGGTGTAAAATGAGGTTTTATTCGAGGCATTACCGACTTGTACTGATGTGTGCCGTTGTTGAACCCAATGATTTATGGAGTATGATATCGCGATAGCTAACAATGAGCTTGTGGCTAATCAACAGAAATGTACTGAACATTCGTATTCTGCCATCACATGATGTATCATGTGCCAGCCTATATGTTCGTCCTCTTCCATTGTCCAGTTGGAGAGCTGCAACCACCGATTCCTGGCCACTGATATTATATCCTTGCCTTACCCCACTCAATTTTCGATCGAAGGCCACTACTAAGATAGACCATTGTACACACCATTCTAAGATTTCTATATTCTCTTGTACTTCAGAACTCACTCACGTCTCAACAAGTCATCTTCAACTGACGAGGTTGAACTGCAACCCGCTCTCGGACGCGCCCGCAACACTCACTCTACAGGGAGCATCCCAACATCTCACCCCTCTAGAGAAGAACAGGGTTCAATCGTTCCACAGAACTGAGCTACTCTTTACCACATATACAATCTCCATCAGAAGTATTATCCGACTACATACATACAACAAACTAGCAATGGGTAAGCCCTCATCGCAAACGACTTCCCCATCTTCAAGCGGCATAAAGCGAACCGCGATCGAAGAACCAGATACCACACCACCTCCGCCCGGGAAACCAAAAAGACCAAAAGCGTTCATGTCCATATACACGATGAGTCCACGGACAGAAATGAAGAAGCATCATCAGCGTCCCTGCAGATCATCCCATCTCCAGAAAAGGTGAGCAACTACTACTTCAAATAGCAGTTACTATCATACACACCTCCAACATATATATAACCCCCATACTACGCAGCATAAACTAATATAGCCAGCCCTCCATACACGAAGAACGCAACCACGAAATCTCCTACATCGTAGTCAACAACGACTCCCATCCCCAAAGCACCATAATCCTCACGGGGCTAAAATGCCTCTTCCAAAAACAACTCCCCCAAATGCCCAAAGACTACATCACACGACTCGTCTTCGACCGCACCCACCTCTCCCTCGCCATCATCAAACAACAACAACCTCACCATGAAGGGTCCCAAAACCCCGAAGTCCTCGGCGGCATCACCTTCCGCGAATTCCGCACACGTCAATTCGCCGAAATAGTCTTCTGCGCCGTAACCTCCCACCAACAAGTGAAAGGGTACGGCGCACACCTCATGGCCCATCTAAAAGACTATGTGCGTGCCACAGGCCCAGTCATGCATTTCCTCACGTACGCAGACAACTACGCGACAGGATACTTCCAAAAACAGGGATTCACGAAGCAAATCACCCTGCCGAAGGCAACCTGGATGGGATATATCAAGGACTACGAAGGCGGGGACACTAATGCAGTGTTCGATGCTGCCTAAGATCCGGTATCTAGAGGCGGGGAGAATGCTACTGAAGCAAAAGGAAACAGTACTAGCGAAGATGCGCGCACTAAGCAGGAACCATATCGTACATGCACCGCCTACACAATGGAAAATGAAAATCACACCCATAAACAACCCCCTCTCTATCCCTGCCATCCTCGCAACAGGCTGGTCGCCAAGTATGGACGATTTCTCGCGCGAACACCGTCGTCACGGACCCCAGTTTAATGAGATGCGACGGTTCCTTAACGAGATCAGGAATCATAAGCAGGCGTGGCCGTTTCTGAGTCCCGTGAGTAGGGATGAAGTGCCGGAGTATTATGAGGTGATTGAGCAGCCGATGGATTTGGGGACTATGGAGGAGAAGTTGGCGAGGGATGAGTATGAGGGTCCGGAGCAGTTGATGGGGGATTTTAAGTTGGTGTTGGGGAATTGTAGGTTGTTTAATGAGCAGGGCACCGTGTATGTTAAGTGTGCGGGGGGGTTGGAGAGGTTTGTGAGGAGGGTGTTGGGGGAGATGAGTGGGTGGGAGGGGTTGCTTGATTGATTGATTGATTGGTTTGGTGTGGGAGTATCTTTGGTTTGTTTGGCGGGTTTGGGGGGTGGTTTTTATGGTGTTCGGGATATTGCTATATGTTGCGGTGAGTGGAGTTTGGATTTGGAGTTGGGGGAATCTTTAGGAAATATTCTGGGAATTATGATATTAAGAACAAAAGGGTGTTGGGCGTTGGGTTTCTTTTACATGAGACTTTGTACAGTAGATACTGTTTCTAGTTAGGCTCTAGTTCTTTAGGAATCTTGTTAGATCAATCGTCATCATAATCATTACTTATTACAGAGGACCAACATCCTCCTCCAATCTAACAGACCAACAATACCATAAATAAAAAAAACAAATAAAAAGGGCAATCACAAAAACAACCACATCCCCACCCTCTTCACCTTCCCCACCACTCCCTTCTCACTCCTGAACCCCCCATCCCCATCCACCGCATCATCATCCTCAACTTCCCTCCCCCCCACAACCTCCAAATTCCACCGATCCGTAACCAAATCCATAACCTCCAACTTGACCAACTTGGTCCTCTTAACCAACTTCCACACCAAAAACATGACCAACATAATCGGCAACTCAATATAATACGAGACGAAATCCACGGCCTTGAAATGCGGACTAAAGCAGGACCAACCCTGCACCAGAATCAGGATGATATTTAAACCGATAGCAAGAATCGGTCCCACGGGATACGTCCAGTTCTTGTACGGGAGGAGATGTTCCAGGTTCTGTTTGCGGATGGCGGCGCGAAAGCGTAGGGAGGCGAGGCCGATGAAGGTCCAGGAGAGTTGGTTGGAGACGCCGACGATACTGTACGTAGTAGTATTAGTATTTATTAGGATGCTTTGGAGAAGAGGGAGGGGGAGGGACATACTTCTGCAGCCATGACCATAGCTGGCCTGCGCCAATGTAGCTCGCTCCGAAGCAGAGTCCACTGATTACGGAGGTGGCGAGGACTGCTACCCAGGGGACCTGGAAGCGGTTCAGGTGGCCGAAGAATCGCGGCGCGTAGCCGTCTACGGCGAGGGTGTAGAGAAGACGGGAGCCGGCGAAGAGGGCGTGGTTGGCGGCGGAGATGACGCTGGTCATGATCACGGCGTTGATGAAGCTGCCGGCCACGGCACTGCCGGCTTCGACGAAGACGATGGTGAAGGGGCTGGTCGCGGTGGTTTCGGAGGATAGGTTCGGGTAGTTGTAGGGGACGTCGAGGCCGATCAGGACGATGGAGACAATGTAGAAGAGAATGATGCGCCAGAAGACGTTGCGGACGACTCGGGGGAGGTTCTTGGCGGGGTCTTTGGTTTCACCGGCAGTGATGGCGATGGATTCGGTGCCGCCGCTGTGAGTTGGTTAGTAGGAGACTTGGTTGATTGGTGGAGGGTAACGTACTAGGCGAAAGAGGCTGTGACGAAGACAGAGGCAAAGCCGCCGATGCCTCCAACGAAGGGGGCTTCACCGGTGTAGAAGTACTTGTTGCCGATGTATTTGTGTTGGGTGTTTGCGCCGCAGTTGACGACGATGCCGAGGATGATGAAGATCTAGCATTTGATTAGTATGGAGTGAATATTTGGTAGAAGTAGGGGACATACGATGATAGTCACCACCTTGAGAAGACTAAGCCAGTATTCAACCTGAAGATAGTCAGCATATGAAAGTCTAACAGATAGATGCAACCAACTTCGCCATAAACCTTGACCGACAGCATATTCAGGGCAATAACCACAACCAGAAAGATCAAGCTTATCGCCCAACCCGGGAAATTATCCGTCCAATACTCCAGGAGCAACTGAAGCGCAATAATATCCGACGCCGTCGACACCGCATCATTGAACCAGTAGTTCCAGGTCAGAGCAAAGCCCAGAGCATCATCAACAAAGCGACTATTTCATCATCAGCATACCATCATCCTCAATCCCAAGATCAACTACTCACCCAGCAAAAGTACAAAACGAACCCGCAACAGGGATAAACGCCGCCATCTCACCCAGCGACAACATGGTGATAAACACAATGACACCACAGATGGTATACGAGATCAACATCGAGGCCGGCCCACCGGTGGCCAGCGCCTTACCCGTTCCCAGGAACAGACCCGTACCAATGGTGCCGCCGATGGCGATCATCTGCACCTGGCGGGGAGAGAGCTTCCGGGCCAGCTTATTCGCATTGACATAGGGAATCTCTGGCTCCAGATAATCGGTAGCTAAGGTGCTGGGGTCCTTGGCATTACGCTCAGCCATGGGCTCGCCAGGAGTCATAGGGCGTTGCTTTTCGATGTCATGAACACCCATGGTGGTGGTGGTCTAGACGCTAAGAGGGCCATGTTAGCTTAGCTATGTCCTACAATGGGAGATATCGGAAGTATGCCGAGACTCACCGATGACTTTTAGATTCGAACCAGTCAATCTCAGCCTTATAGTTGAGCTCTTCCCGAATAGGCAAGTGCTGGAGACTGGGAGGAGAGACACCACGTGATCCACCGTGGAGAAGCTCAAAAGTCGGCAGTCAAAAGTGGCCGCTGAAACTACTAGTGATCTAGATTGTTAGATACTAGCAGTAGTGTCTGCACAGCACGCATGAACGGAAAAGATGTTATCAAAGGGAAGAGTGCATCCCCGCGAATGACACTCATGTCACCATCACATCCTGACGCTGAAAATTTGCTCTTTAGCGGATGGCGTGCTCGATTGGTGTTACGTACAGCAAATGGAAGCGCGAGGGAATCCTTGGGGATGAAGAGACGGTTTGCCGACTGCCGCCTCGGGTTCTCCACCCGCTCGGCTAACTTTAACCATACATCCATTACTTTAAGAGGAAATAGAGGCAGCTTTTACATCTAAGCAGTTGCTACAATATCACCACAATAAATCAATCAAGGAATTTCCCCAATGATAATTGTATCGTGCTATGTACATGGCTATGCTGCCGGAATCTCATAAACTTTTGACACTCTCCGCTGATGAACAATGAAAGAAACTGAGACAGAAAGGGATATATCCACCAAAGACATAAGAATAATGTATACACTTCAAGATCACCCCAGCAAGCCCGCAGCCAGCGACTCCAGATCTTCCAGAGTCTCGATCTGCTCCGGTGCTTTGCCAGCCGGTTGAGACTTCTTGGCCTTCTTGGGTTTGGGCTCCTCCTCGCTCGCGTCGTCTGCAAAGGAAACCCGCGCCTTCTTGCTGGGCCGGAGGACTTCCTCGTCTTCGTCCGAGGCGAGTCCGCCCTCCTTGTACGGAATCTGTACCAAATCCCCTCCTTCTTCCTCCATAGCAAGAAGCTCGCGCTCGCGGGCCTTGCGCTTCTCCTTCTTCTCGCGCTTCTTCTGCTTGGCGACTTCCTTGTCCTCCAGATCCGCTTGCCGAGTGCGCTCCGCCTCCTCCGCCAGGAACTTCGCCTGCTGCTCCTTGGCGTCGCCCTTGGCCTTGAACTGTTCTTCATCCTCCATTTCGTAGATCTCATGGGCGTTGCCCTCATCATCGTAGATAAGCTTGGTACCCTTGCCCTTGAACTTAAGCAACTTCTTCTTCGACTTGAGCAGCTTCTCACGACGTTTAGAGTCGATTACCAGGGCGTCCTTGCCATCAAGATGTACCACCTTGGGTCCCTTCTTCTCCGTTCCGTCCTCTGCATCCTCCTCGTCCTCTGAGCTAGATCCTGCGACATCCAGGTCCTTGTCTCCGGCCGCGAAGCGACGCTTGACGGACAGGAAGTCGTCATCTTCATCCGCATCCGCAGTAGCCTGGTTCGTCTCCACAATCGTGCCGTCGTCGTTGATAAGCTTGTGGTAATGGTCGGCCAACACGTCCTGGTTCCGACGCTCGAACATGCGGTCATACTTCGTCCGCACCTGCGTCTCATCCTTCTTGGTCTTCTTCTTCTCGCCCTCTTCGCCAGACTCGTCATCGCTGGACAGGTATGCCGTAGCACGTGGCGCGTTCTTCCGCTCCTTGGTATCGTCTCCCTTGATGAACTTGATGCGGGGTGCACCAGGAAGACCCATGCTGCCCGCAAACTCATCCAACTTCAGCTCCTTAATGTTGAAAATTTCCTTGTCCTTCTGAACGTAGACCGACTTGGCGTAGGAGATGAAGGCCTTCTGGCCCAGGTACTTCAACTCGGGGTCCTTGAAGCACATATTCTGCAGCTGATCTTTGATGCTCTGTTGCTTGTTGGCCTTGATGTTGATGCGTTCGACCTGAACCTTTTTCTGCTCCAGACGCTTCAACATGCCCTTCTCCTCGCTAGGATCCAGGAACAGCACGGCACGACCGTCACGCTCGTATCTTGCTGTACGACCAACACGGTGAATGTATGTATCAGCGTCTTCGGGGCAGTCAAGCTGGATAACCCAGTCGACAGCCGGGAAATCCAGACCACGTGCAGCAACATCAGTAGCGAACAGAACCGCATGTTGCGCCGATGAGAACTTGGTTGTAATATCGAGTCGACCACCCTGCTTCTGACGTCCGTGGAGGTGCATCAACGGAATACCGGGTTGCATGTGACGGAAGGATTCGTAGACAAAGCGCACCTGCTTTCCTGACGACAGGAACACGATCGTCTTGGACTTCAAGTTGCTTCGAATAAAACTCCACAGGACATCGAGTTTCTGCGGAAGGGGCGTAACGACGTAGTGTTGCTGAAGCTTGGACGGCGTCGCAGAGGAGGCCGTTTCGTGAACAGCCACATATTCGGGGTCCTGCAAGCTCAGTCGAGCCAAGTCCGACACCTTCTTCGTCTGTGTAGCACTGAAAAGTAACGTCTGGCGCTCCTTCGGGAGATGACCGATAATGGCATCCACCGTCTTCTGGAAACCCATATCCAAAATGCGATCCGCCTCATCCAACACGAGCATCTGCAGATTGTGCGTCTCGAAGAAAGAAGTCTGATCCAAGTGCTGCAGCATACGACCAGGCGTACACACCAGAATATTCATCCGTCCCAACCTCTCTTGCTCCTCCCGCAGACTCTTCCCACCAATAACCAGACCGGCGGAGAATGTATGGTAGCGACCGACTTTACGGAGGACTTCGAAGATCTGAATCGCGAGTTCGCGGGTAGGAGACAGAACGAGAGCACCCAATCCATCGTGCTCTGACCACTGCTTGCGGTATAGGTTTTCCAAAATGGGAATCAGGAAGGCCAGCGTTTTGCCGCTTCCCGTCTTTGCGGCACCCAGAATATCGCGGCCCTTGAGCGCATGGCTAATCGCACGGGACTGAATGTCGGTCAAAGTTTTGTAGTGAGACGAGGCAAGTCCGGATGCGGTGGGTTCAGACAAAGGCAGATCGGTGAATTGTCCGATGGTTTCCTTGACATCCAAATCTTCGACCCTCTTGATGAGAGAGTTCAAATCTTCTTGGACACGCTTGCGCTTGAGGTTACCGCCGCGCTGAGCCTTCGAGTGTTTGCCATTGCGGGAACCGTTCATCGGAGCCATGGTGGGCTCGTCCAGGAAAAAAAAAAAATACTCACGAAAATGAGCACCAACGAAGGAAAGCAGACAAACGAAAGTGAACTGGTTGCTGGGGAGAGAAAGCGAATCTCGAAGAAAGGCGCGGGCGGTGAAGCAACTTTTTTCTCTTCGGAGTTTAACCTCGCGGGTTCCTGCTGACTCATCGCCGCGATAAGACGGCGCTTATCGGCGTGTGCCTTTCAACAGCCATGCGACAGTCCCAACCCGGCGAATTCCTTCATTCACTCCCCAACCTCTGTCACCATGGCCGACGAAGAGCAAGATGCTTTGGATGCGCTTGAGCGTGAGGCCTCTGACTTTGTCAAGGTACGATGTCTCGGAACATCTACACTACAATGACACCCAGCTAACTTCAGACAGGATGCAGAAATTGACCGCATTCGGAAGGCGTTCTCCTTAGACGCGTGAGTTACCGGCCTCCTACTATACCTACTCTGCTTGCTGCTATGTACCTATGAAGTGGCTGACGGACTGAATATTTTACCAGTTACGCGGTCCTTGATCTTCAACCAGGTGTCCCCGAATCCGACATCAAAGTCCAGTACCGCAAAAAGTCCCTTCTCATCCACCCTGATAAGACGAAGAACCCGGCCGCCCCCGATGCTTTTGATCGCCTTAAGAAAGCGCACACGGCGCTTATGGACGAAAAGTCGCGCACATACCTAGACGAATGTATCGCGGACGCGCGACGACTTTTGATCCGCGAACACAAGTACTCGCTAGACTCGGAAGAGTTAAAGACAGACGAATTCAAGAAAGAATGGCGCCAAAAGACAGTGCAAGTACTCTTAGAAGAGGAGGCACGGCGGCGAAGACAAGCCAAGGCCAAGCTTCAGGAAGAAGGTCGGGAGAGGCGCAAGGAGGAAGAAGAGTTGGAGGCGCGAAAGCGGAAACGGGACCAGGATAAAGCGTGGGAAGATAGCCGTGAGGAGCGCATAGGCAGCTGGCGAGATTGGCAGAAGGGAGTGAAGAAGGATGGGGACAAGAAGAAGAAAAAGAAGATGAAGGTATTGGGGTGAGACTGGGCAGGTGTGCCAGTTGCCTGCAAGACTTGCAGTGGTAGAAGTATTTGAACTTGGTCAACTGGCGTTGAGCGGATATATTTGCACCCGGGACGGACTGGTGATCATAACATCATCATGATTATATTGCTATTCACCACTACTGTTCTTTCATACCATTGATAATTAGTAGCTGCTGTCACATTACTCATCGCTATCAAGCTTTTGACATGCAATTGTCATCCACTCGAACTAAATTTTGCTATTTACTTGATTTCCTGCATAGAATAATAATATCAGCCGCGATAAGAAAGCGGTCAAGGCCGATGCGGGGCAGAAAGAACATTCCAGCGCCTTTTTTATTATCTTCCCCTCCATCGCTCGGGTTCATGTGGCCTCTCCGCAATCATCCGTCGTGTCTGAGAGCTGCATTTTTGAGAATTGTTTGGAATTGCATGTGTCTCATCCCTATATATTTGTCCCTGTTATCTTTACCATTCTCGTCCGATAGAAAGACATACACCCTTGCGTTTCACCTCGGACCCTTTCCCGACAGATAAACCAACACAGCCGGCCGGCTTACATCAATCCCTCTCTCTTCCCCCCCGCGAGTCATCGCATCCACTCCATACCCTAGCTACTAACTAGTACTACTCCAACCACCTCAACCCTCACTCCTTCCCTTCCCTTCTTCCTTTCTCACCCATATATATACACACATACACATACACATTGCCTCCCTCCCACAACGACAATCGACCAATCAATTACCCACCATGACCGACTCGATACCACCCACCCCCAATGGCCTACCCACCACCAGCACCAGCACCACATCAACATCACCACAAACAACCACAACCACCACAAACACATTCCCACCGTCAACAACCCCCTCCCTATCCAGCATAATCACCCACTGCCACACCAAAATCCACACCTTCCTCTCCGAATCCCACCCAGCCGACTCCCTCCTAGCCAAAGTCCAACATCAAACCCGCACCTCCCTCAACGTCATCTCCACCGCCCTCCACCGGTACCCCCTCAACGAGCTCTCCCTCTCCTACAACGGCGGCAAAGACTGTCTCGTGCTCCTCGTCCTCTTCCTCGCCAGTCTCCACCCCCACCCTTCCCCAGAAGACGGCGGCCTCACCTCCATCCCCGCGATCTACGCCCTCCCCCCGGACCCCTTCCCAGACGTCGAGGAATTCGTCCAATGGTCCGCCCGCGCATACCATCTCAACGTACTCAAGTACACGACGGACCCGCCGCGCTCCACAATCAAATCCACCTTTGAGGATTACCTGTTCGTTAACCCGGGAGTGAAAGCGATTTTTGTCGGAACGAGACGGACGGATCCCCACGGTGCTAAATTGACCCATTTCGATCGCACGGATAGTGGATGGCCGGATTTTGTGCGCGTGCATCCTGTGATTGATTGGCATTATGCGGAGATTTGGGCCTTTATTCGCCACTTGGGGTTGAGGTATTGTGGCCTTTATGATAGAGGGTATACGAGTTTGGGGGGTACTGCGGATACGCATCCGAATCCGAAGTTGAGGGTCGAGGTAGATGGTGATGATGCTGGGGAGGGGGTGCAGGAGGGGCGGTATAAGCCTGCTTATGAGTTGACGGAGGACTTGGAGGAGCGGTTGGGACGCAATTGATTGTTTGCGGCAGTGTCGATGTCCAATTTGGCCTTTGTCTGAGTCAAGGATACTTGTTGTCGGCTCAAGGATTCCTTCTCCGTGTATAGACCTGTTTTGGAGTCAAACCCTATGTACACTTCGCCTCCCCTCCTATACCGATGTCTTCCCTCCGCATGTCACTCCTGAGCGTTTTACTCTCTTCTCTCGTGTTTCACCATTACTATCCGATAGATGCATACACTGGCTGCATGTCTTCAACTTGTTTGGCTTACATTCGGCACTGTGATGGTCGCAGTTGCATAACGCTTTCCATTGGCAAATTGTAGACTGCGCTGATAACTTGATGCTAAGAGCTAAACATGCATGGCTAGGCAAATGCTAAAGTACTACTTATGTCCTCCCAACCTGTGAATTCCCTCTCGCCGTAAACCTTTGGCCTCCAGGGTCCAGCGGTAACACATACAGACCTTTAAATCGGCATCACTCTGCGAATCATAGAATCACTGGTGTCATCAAGAAATCAAGAACAGATAACAAAACCCATACAACCTACAAAAGCTTAAAACCAGCACAAAACTTCGAAATGGGCAACAGTTAAAAAGGGGAAACAAAATCATATGTTAGTCAACCATGCACCATTGTAAGATATGCGGGCTCTGACGGATAGCTGGACAGCCTGCTGTGTTCGTCGAAGATGCTTCATGGAAGGGCAAAAAGGCGACCCGTGCAAATACCAAAAGTCGCTCCTGAGAGTTACAACACTTGGTGTTTGTAGGAAACATTGGGAAGAGAGAGGATGCGTACGTATGGAGGACTTGGGGCATTTCAAAATCACGGTGCTGCAATCCAAGCATCACTCAGACGACCGACCGAGGCGAAGTCACAATAACCTCCCTGCGAGAGGAAATCGGAGACAAAGAGCCTGCTTTCATCTCCTTGCGAGGGCTGGATCTTTCGGAACGAGATTCAACGCAGGACGTGGTGGGAGTGGCGAAATTGGCCTTGGAGGAAGAGCCCGAGGAATTTTCATTCCACACTCCACGGCGTCCACGATACAAAGGTGTATTCTCCAGACCTCCTGGTCCGTTGCGGGAAGTCCACGAGTTGAACCTCATATTGCTAGCCTGACTCTTCGCCAAATACCTGCTTGTCTTGTCAGCAGAGCCCGAACGGGTGTGGGTCCATCAGTGCATACGATGGAGAGATGGATGTAGCAGGAGTCCAAGCTGCGCCCATGCCAACAGGTGACACATAGCTACCCTGCGAATTGGGGCTGAGGTGAGATGCAGTCTGCTGAAGACGGTTAATAGAAGGCGATGGAGTGGAACCCTGAACTACCTCAACCGAATAATTGTATTCGCCGGCACGATAGGCGCGGCGCTCGTTACTTTGCTGCTTGAGAAGTTTCTGGGCCTTAGTGTCGGCGAAGCGAAGAAGCAACTTCACACCGTCTTTGGCAACCGCATTATGATATTCCGAAAGGACTTTTTCGGCGATGTCACGGGTTTCAAACCTATTACGAGGTCATCAGTCCAAGGATCATACCTTTCATCCAAGTGTTTGGTAACCACTACTCACCGGGCAAATCCAACTTCCTTGCTCACTCCGGTCTTCTCGTCACGGCTGATCTTCTCCGAAATGACATGGTACGGCTCAAAGTGATGACGGAGATCCTGTAGTTATGGTCAGCGTTATTTGTATGGTTCCTTATTAGAGCTTGCTGCTTACGGCCTCTGTCCACTCAATCGGAATGTTGGTACAATAAATGTTAGTGGATGACTTGTCTTCGAGGTCCTTGAGACGGGAGTTGCGAGATTTCTGAGTATTGTTAGTTGTAAGGTACGATGGCTGGTAGCCTGAAATATACCTGAGCAAAGCTAGCCTGGTAGCCAAGATAGAAGAAACCACGAATGCAGTTCTCACAGGACTCAAAGTTGTAGTACTGAACAAAGCCGAATCTATATGCAGTCAGTACATAGCTCATCAGTCCGTGGAACCGGCTCTTGCATACCCTTTGCAAAGGCCTGTATCCAAGTCCACAATTGCTTTGCATCGATCTATCTTTCCAAAGCGCGAGGCATAGGCATGCAGCATCTCATCCGTAGTCTCTGGAAGGAAGCCTCGAATGTAGACGTTGGTAATGCCCTCCCGGTTTTCCAGGCACTTGGCAAGGGTCAGTTCAGAAGGGTTAGTCCACATAGCAGGTACAGCCCGTGGAATAGGCGGGTCTTGCTGAGTTAAGCTTTCCAGGTCCTGAAGAATGTATCCAGTAGGAGTCTTCATCATCTGGAAAGGTAGACATGCAGGTCCCGGCTGGGGAAAGCTGTTATAACCATAGCTAGGCAGTCCAGGACCTTCCAGGTTCGGGGTGGCTCCATGGTAGTAGTCTCCTGCAGGGCTGGGAACCACCGGGCATGGGGAAGCTAGGCCTGGATAGATGCCAGTAGGGGGTAGATACGGGTTCTGATCATAAGGAAGACCACCGAAGAAAGCTCCATTGGGGAGAAGAACAAGGGGATTATAAGGGGGCACAGCTAGCGGCATGTTGCTCTTGAGACCATTGTACTTGGCTCCGGGACGCTGACCCTGGATGTTCAAGCCCCCGAGCAGAGTGGACAGTCCACGAGTATCAGGAGCCTGAGCGGATTCAGGAACAGCAGTATGCATGGTGCCGGATCTATGCGAGTCAATCTCTGCAGTAATCGTTAGTGATGTTGATCTGAGCACCATGAAGGCATGCAATGAGATGGACGTCGACACAAGATAGGTGCCTAAGACCAACGAGAATGAACACTTACTTGAACCAGCAGAATAGCCGTGCGGATCGGGGGAGTTGGGATCTGTAGCGGCAGTCAGATACGAAGCAAGATCCCAAGTTCCAGATAACATACACGATAATAAAGTAGTTAGGGAAGATGGTAGTAGGCCAGTACGCAACGAATGACTGGAACACGGTGAAGAAGATGTGGGAGCTGAGGAAGTTGAAGGATGAAGAGGGGTCGACATCGATAGAAAGTCGCTGTTCGTAGAAACTGCCTTTCTAGAGGAGTGTGTTGAGTGGAAGCCACTCTGGGCAGGAGCATTGAAGGCACCACTTTCCTTCCGGCGGAGTCCAGGGAATGACGCGTCAGGAACATGGACGTATCCTGGGTTACCAGGCACGTTCTGGTCATCAAAGACCGAATGATGCATGTTGGCCATGCCTGGTATCAGAATCAAAGTAGGAGTTGTAGTCGCAGAGTAGTAGTAGGATGAGACGGGTTATAGCTATCCGGTTACGGGAAGGATTGGAGAGGTGGAAGAGAACATGAGTTCTATCTAGAATAGATCTACGTGGAAATATGGACCCGGTGGTGAGCAAACAGTATAGACAATCAATCCACTCTGCATTGTGCGAGATGATATTCGGACTGCAACCCATTTTTCATTCCCTCTCATTCATTCGTACTTCTAAGCGGACTTTTGCGGGTCTGTAGCTGTTTGTGGATCACAGCCAGGCGGGTCAAATATACAGTTGGAAAGATCCGCTATTGCACGACTTCTTAACAAGCGAGTTAACAAGTCAAACCTTTGTTAAGCGGGGCAGTGTTGGTCCGGATCAGGGTCACCAAGATCTCTCTGTGATTCACACATTGCTGCCGAGCCTTTTGGTGTGATGCAGGTTAGTTATCCCAAGTCCAAGACAGTGTGCTGCTGTAAAGCATAGCAATGAACATGTGCAGATACGGCAGTGCAAGTTGCGACCACATCTTACCATAACTTATCATTATTTCTCTCCAGATCCTAGCTGCCACACTCAATGTAGCCTGCGCAAGGCTTCTATCATAATCTTTACTTCATCAACATTCATCATGCCCACCGAGTCCACAATTTCTTCCTGAAGACTCGGCTCGCAGGTCAGGAACCTCTCAATCAGCTCGCCATCCACAAACCGATACGGCTCTTTTGCCTCTCGCACCATGCTGCGGAAACCACGGAACTCATTGAATGGAATGTTCCCCAGCGACTCGACCTTGCCC